GTTTTTTTCTTCGCGTTCACCTCTACGCTAACCTTAACTTCGCTCTCCATATTGCTCACATTAGAAAAACGGCAGCATTCGGCATTCGCGCATTACTCAAAGCTCGCTCATATTTTTCTCATAAAGCACTCCTTTCACTTTACTTCGCATTCATTCATTCTCATATCACTTATGGCATCGCATCATGGGGGAATACTTACCAGTGTCATCTTTCATCCGTACAACATCTACAAAATCGAGCTATTCGCGCTATTTTTAATTGTTCTCGCGACAGTAGCGCCGCTCCTCTTTTTCAATGCAATAAAATCTTAACTGTTAGCCGTCTATTCAGGTTTATTCTAATTAGGTTTCTGCATAAACAAATAGGAAATCAACTTTCTGCTAATTTCATTGATCCTAAGATGTTAGTTAATACTAACACAACCAGGTTTGCGGCCAATAATAACTTTTTACTTCCTAAAGTTCGTACTAACTATGGTAAAATATCTTCTCTCCTGTGTGCCATCACCATATGAAATAATTTGCCCACTTCGCTAAAATGCAAAGTTTCTTTATTGTTCATTAAAAACTCATTAAAGGAGTGCCTGTCAATTAGTTGATCTGTCTTCTTTGTGTTGTTTTATGCTGTATTATTTGTTTTTTGATTCCATGCCTTTTTGTTTTCATTCTGCTTTATATATTTTTGTTTCTACGATTCTAACAGCAGCTTGTACTTTTATTATTTGTAATGATCACCGAGGGTCCCGTTGCAGTCTTGTACTTTGGGACCCTCGTCTGTATATTTTACTCCCTGTATCATCCTTTGATGACATGATAATAAACTGATTGATTGATTGATTGTAGCCCCCATCAGTTACCCTCCTGGTTATTTCTACCCGTTTAAGGTCTATACTGCCTGCACTGTCCCTAACCGCAATGTTTTTAAAAATTCCGTGCCATTATTTTGGAATATAGAGGGAGCCCTTTACAGAACATTCTGAAATGTTCAGCCCTCTCCTCCTCCTCTGCACACGCACTACATACAGTGTCTGTGTCTTCGTATTTGGCTCGGTACGTCTTGGTTCCCAATACTCCCAATCTGGTCTCGAACAGCGAAGAATTAACCCGAGAAATATTGTAGATCGTTTCTTTTACGATTTCCTGCTTGGAAATTCGGTAGGCCTTCAGTGATAATTTTGTAAGCATTACAATCTTTCATTTGTCTCTCTCTGTTTCTTTCCCCATCTTCTTTCCGATGTTTCCTTTTGGCTTAGTATTCTGCTATTGCCAAAATACGTGCTTGACAATAATTGAGTTCGCTTCCTCCATTTAGCATCAACTTTATTCATCTAGAAGTAGTTGAAAACTTTCCAAGCCCAACGCTCCACAACCATTTATCTCAATCGCTCCTCAAATTCTATCTTGCTGCTAGCTTACATGCACTCAAAAGATGTCTATCCAACGTCACCTATAACCCCTGATTCGGGGTTTATTCCGTGTGCTGCAAAAGCAAGTCTACGTATGCCACGTTGTTTATTTTCCAATCTTCGTTGAACTTCTGATTTCATGCACAAGACCGCTTTACGAAACGTCAAACCCGGAACCATGACACCCTTTTAAATCCCCCTAACAACGTCATACCTATTGTAGTTCCACAGTGCCCTATTTTTTATTACAGCTGCATTCCTGTTACCCTTATACATTACGTATCTTTCGTGCTCCCTTAGGTACTCAGCCCCGGTATTTATTCATACGCCGAAACATGCGTATTTATCCACTACTTCTAGCATGACTTCCTGTATCTTATTCTCACTGCGTTTGTTACTGAAAAGCATGTTTGGCAATTTTTCCTGCTGAACATCAAATTTTCCCGATTTCCCTCATTTCTCTCATTACAAGAGACATCTATCGATGCCTGCAGATCTTCCTTGTTTTCGGCTAATAATTATAACATCTTCATCAATGCTGGCAAATGACTGTTCATTGCGTTTTCCTTGATTGTAAAAAGAGAGGCTGAAGCCGAGTCGACTCCCCTCTAATTTGGCTTCTAGTCCCTGCAGATACAGCCTTAATAACAAAGCTGACGGAGAACATCCCTGTCAAAGGCGCATTGTATTTCTATATGTTCAGATACGTGTTCTTTCTTTTGCTGGAGGCGAAAATGCTGTAGCCCCGTGTGCTCAGATTGTGCCGCCCGTTAAAGAACTCTAGGTGTTCGAAATTTTCAGAGCCCTCCACTACGGCGTCTCTCATAATCATATGGTGGTTTTGGGACGTTAAAGCCCGTATATCAATCAATGAGTACCTGTGCTTCCTATTTTATAACTGCCTTGCCACTTTTATAGATGTTCTTTCGAAGATTAGTTACTCTATCTTCCACATCTAGTGCCTCTAGTATCCCCCTAAGGCTTCTTGAATCACACTATTTATTTATTTATTTATTTATTTACAAATACTGCTGTCCCATGCCTGGGACATTGCAGGAGCGGGTACAGAAAAATCAACGAAAGCACAGAAACAAACAACAGTGCGCACAAATTTATGTGACTAACACATAAAATTTTTCCCGAACTCTACAGTGTTCATTCTACGCAATGCACCATCAAGCTTGTTCCAAACTTCCACCACACGCGGAAAAAAAGAGAATTTGAAACAATCCAAACGAGACCTGAAGGGTACAGGGTTCAAAGCGCCTGTACTACGTGTTGTACGCGCTGGTATATCAGCGAAAGATAAGGGCGCGTGAACGCGGGTCATTTTGTGTACAATCTTGTGCAACAAGATAATACTCTCACTTGTACGGCGGTGTTCCAGTGAATGAAGTGACAACAAATGAGCATGTGAAGACGGGGAGAAGTCCCGATCATAACGGTTAAAAACGAACCGTATAGCCTTATTCTGCACAGATTCTAACCTGCACAATTCTAACACTATCGTAAGCTCCCTTGATATCTAGAAATGGCAGCCACAAAGACCTATGTTCTTTTTCCGTTGGTCACCCGCATAGCGCCACCAGTGGCAGCACGCTATCTCAAAACAACATATATTTTACAGAGCCAGTACAATTGGCAATGGTACTCCCACTCCCCGTCCCCAGCCGGCTTTCTTGACGGCTTTCCCTTTCTTGGCGGCAGCGTGCGAGACGGTGTTGAATTCGACCTTCCCTGTTCTCTTTACTCGTTCTTTCACTCATTCTCCCCATCCCCTGCTCGCTGCTGTGGAGGTTCCCTCATAGAAAGAGGCAGTAACAATACCACATTTATTTATTGCTTTTTTTTCCTTTAAGAACTTTTTTCCTTTATTTCTTTTTTCCGTTGTGTGCCAGTATTGTGAATACGAGGAATGCAAGACGCCGCCCCGTGAATCTACACAACTGAACAAAAAATTACTTCATAAGATTTCCATCAGACACTGCATCTGCACACTGCATTAGACACTGCATGAGGGTCTACTTTCTCTCATGGCCACAAAGCACAGCTGATGGCTAGGCGGTGGGAGAGAGCGGCAAAGGGCTCGAGGACAAAGCAGTGAACAGCTGGTTTGGACAAATCTGACTGGCACTGATAAAATAAAGGGCGTTGCTTAGAACGAACACTGTTTACTAGTCGTCGACTTCAACGTAGACATTATTGCCCTTAAAACCTATCTACGCCCACTCATCATGAAACACTTCACAGAGATGCATGATGTTTTTGTCTTAATCGCATCTATCAGCTCATTGTTGTGCACGTTAGTAAGCCAAACTTTAAAGACCGCCGGCCTTGCACATGTCTCACACAGATTATCGAGTTTAGTGCACAAAACCGGTGGTTCTGTTGGTACAGCAAATTAGCACGCCATGTCTCGATTGGTAATGGTGGGGGGCGGGAGGATAGTGCCGCACGTGTTTCCTACTTTCGTATTTACTGTGTTTAGTTTGCGCCCACAAAGACTGTCAGCGACGGTCAGCGTAAACGGCGACTCAGTGTTCCGAGTCGCCACTAGACCACCCGCCGCGGTGGTCTAGTGGCTAAGGCACTCGGCTGCTAGCCCGCAGGTCAAGGAACGAATCCAAACTGTGGCGGCTCCATTTTTTATGTCGGCAAAAATGCTGCAGGCCAATGTGCTCAGATTTGGGTGCACGTTAAGAACCCTAGGTGGTCAAATTTGCAGAGCCCTTAAGTACAGCGGGTCTCATCTTGCCATAATGGTTTTGTTACGTTGAACTCCATAGATGAGTTCAGGCTTCACCACTTTAGTAGAGACCATTTTGTGAAGAATACGCGAACAATATGAACTTACAGGTTATTCCGAGACCTAAACAACAGCGTAATCGCTAACGGCAACGTTCGGCGGCGACTACGCGCGTCATTACTAGTCATTTCATTGACGGCCGATGCTCTGTTCGTCAATACGCGGGACATTATGTTGCTCTAATCTGACTTTCGGATTCCCGGCACAAAGTTTGGTCACTTAAACAGGTTCACCTTCGTACAGTCTGCTTCCTTCGTGATTGTCATGACCCCGAGACAATATTCTCGGACAGCAGACTTCAAAGTGCATTAGTAGCCGTCACAGCCTACATTGTTCACCATCATTTTGCCTGCTCCGTAACTGTTACATTGCTTGCTACTGTAACAAGAAAAGTGATTTTCACCAATAGAACAGATGGTCAGCTTGCAGTATCTACTGACTGATAACTTTTATCGAAGTCCGTAATTTTTTGCTTTCTATAAATAAATTTTGCAATAACAAACAAGGGCTTTGATTAACCACACATACAATGCGTGGTTAGATGAGCTGTGACTTAGTTTACTGATATTCTTATAATATCATATACGTGGCCTTTACAGCATCAGCTCCAGCCTCATTGCCACAAGCCAGAACAGGCACGAATCTGCTTCCCTTTTCCTACTTCCTGTAGAAATTTGCTGCCTCCTCCGATAGCTAGCAATTGTGGTTCCCAAGTATTGATAGATATCATGAAAACAAACGAGATTCTGAAATGTCACTAATGGAAAGTATTCGTTACTTCTTTTCAGGTAGCAAGGAGGACCACAACTCTAATTTGACAAGTCCCATTTTGGTTCCACTATGGCAGTGGCTACGCTGGATGCCACCAAAGGTGCCGGATGTGAGTCATACAATTAGGCGATATACTGAGTGCTCTTGCATCATTGAGTCCTCATTGAGACAATCCTTTTTGGGCAGAAATGCCGTCCCGATTACCAACAACAATGATCAACCCAAGATGATGATAATCATACCCAACAACGATGAGTAGGTGTTACGAATGCATTATATTGATAATGTACAGATGAAGAAGATAAGTATTATAACTGTCAACACTATGCCCCTCTTGTGAAAGCAGCCAGCCTGGCCGCAGCACATCAAGATAATGAGAAGCGTCGCATGAAAGGCTTCATCCTGCAGACGTGGACAACTTCAGTCCTTTGATAACGGTGGTCTGGGGCTTCAAGGACTATAACGGAATAATTAACAGATGAGGTCTCCTCCAGAACGGTGTACGGCCCAATATAGCGTGGCTGAAACTTGCCAGACACACCAGGTGTGCGAACAGGTGTCAAAGAGAGCACCTCATTAACAGAGTGGGAGCTTACTGCATAATGTTAGTAATCTAAAACACGTTTTATTTTGCTGCCAGCTTCAGTATTGATGCGAGAAGGTTAGTGACAGTGGGCGAGTGGACAAAATATTCCACAGAAGTGAATGGAGATAAGTTGATGTGGGAGGTAAACATTGAAACGTCCAGAGAGAAAGAAGGGAACTTTCTGTAAACCAGGTAAAACTGTGAGTAGTCTATTGTCTGCTAAATGACCGTAATGTAGTCAAAAGTGACGAATGGTAGAATCTGGTTTAATATAGGCGGCGATCATGACGACAAGATTGCGGTGGATTAACTCGGCCAGGCCATGAGTCTCGGGTGATAAATTCAAGTGGCCTTGTGAGTTATGCCCCAGTCCTGTAGAAGTTCGTTCACTAGTTCAGAGAAGAATCCTTTTCTATGGCCACTAATCAGAACACGTGGAGCCCCGTTGCGCTTTATAAGGGTTTAAAGGACGAAGTATGTAACTTCAGAAGCTGAACCAGTCGTCTCAGATGCCGTCTCGGCATATCACGTTAAATGATCAGTGGTTGTCACTACGCAGTTGAAAATCTCACCAGAGTGTGTCTGGTGTGGCTTAGTGTGATCTTGTGGATACAACAAAACACACTGGTGTGTTGTGGTGTGGACACCAGCGTGGTGTGCTGTGTACTGGTGTGAACATTGACCCACTCTGATGTGTCTTGGTGGGATCTGTTCCGGTGTGAGTTGACCAAGTATGGTGTGTTCTGGTGAGAACGCCAACCCAGACTGGTGTGTTCTGGTGCAACATGTTCTGCTAGGAAGTGTTCTGATGGGAAGACCACATCAGTGTGGTGCATTTTGGTTGGATGTGTCCTGGTGGACTCAAGAAAAATATTTTGTGTTCAGGGCTTGTGCTAAGAATTTTCTTCATTTGATTGCACTCGAACTCACACTCCTTAATAGTTTCCTCAATCAGTCTCACTTGTACTAAAGCTCACCAAAGCACTGCTCAGCAGGTGGCTCTCAGACTCGTGACTAAGTCATTTTCGGTGTGTTGACTAAGGAGTACGCTAATTTCAAATACGCTTTTATAGCCATGGTGTCAATGCTCTATAGTTTCCGTGGAATTTATTGTTAACATTCATAATTAAACCTGAAACCAGGACACGTGTATAAGAAAATTTGGTTTCATTTCGAAGTTTTTGTGGAACGTGAGAGTACGCTACGCCCTTCACAAACACATACTAATGTCATCTTGGCCAATGCAGCTTATTGAAACAGCGCTGCATTTTAGAAGGCATAATGTCATGCTTCTTGCAGTACTATTGCAATTTATTGTTGCATATCTGCATTGTTGTGCAAGCTTTGTTAAATTGCCCACATCCGTAAGACAACCCCCGTAAAATAGCTTGTCACATTAAGTCAGAAGAGCTCATTTTATTCGAAAACTCTATTTTCGGTTGCCTGAGTGCAACCGAAATTCCTGAAGAAAACGTCCATTCACCCTTCACTGTTTACATGCAACACAAACAACCTACAGTGATCTACCCAGTGCTTGTTACTATCCCCTTGTGATTTAAACTTATGTCACACTGTTTACGTATCACTATAATACTACCACCTCAATATGGAAACCAAGCAATTTTTCAGGAGGTGCTAATAAAACTATAATGACTGCACTCCAAACAACTATAATGTTTTGGCACCTCAACTTTTTTGAAGAAACATTACCAAAACTGTAGAATTCCGTAGTACTCTTTCAATGCTGATATTTATCATACTTGGTGCCCTCCTTAGTCCATTTTGACCTTGTACCTTTCAATACGAGTTATCAGTGGCAATTCACGTAGCACATTTTTATTGAAAGGCAATTCACACGAGATATTTGTATCCAAGTAACGTCCAGTGAAATAGATTTTGGGCTTAGACCAAAGACGCACTGCCATAACTTATGCTTCTTATTAACAAGTATTTTTATGTAGTGCAAACTGTCATGCACTGAAGCATGTGAGTAGCACAAGCATGAACACAAGAATGAAAGCACATGCATGAAGCTTTTCTAAGGCAGTTGATATGTAGAAGATACTGCATAATCTGTCGTATTATACTTTGATACTAATAGTAACAGATACTAATAATAAAAAAAGATTTCGAAAATTCAACAGAACACTGTGCAAATTAGGTACTTGAATATGGGAGCACCTAAATTCTGCAATTGTACTGTTTCGTAGCCTTCACGTAGGAATAAATACAAAACTAGATAGATTCACAGCGGCCGTTAGTACCAAGCTCGTGTGCATGGCGAACAGATATCTGTATATATGCGCGAAGGACAATTTGACATGGCATCCTAGGTCCAATGACAGCATTTTATATGGTGTTCACCTGTGCAGAAAATTCCACAATGCGAAGAGCCACACAATTATTGTAAAATGTATTAGTTTCTTTCTGTACATGAAGATCTTACTTTCATGAGCACGAGGTTATACTGACTGCAATGGTAGCAGGTGATGCAGATTACAAATAGAATAATTTAATAAATTTACACAGCTTATACGGGCGCCCGCCCCACCGCGGTGGTCTCGTAGTAGTAGTAGTAGTAGTGGTAGTAGTATTTGTATTTAAGGTAAGCCGGATACAGAGCTCACTGCAGGGGCAAAGGGCTAAAGGCGAACAGCCTGACAAAGGCCCTTGTCCCTCCGCAGTCCGTGACAGTGCAAAGCTTAGACATCAGCACTGACAAACAATATATTTATTCAATACATTGGTTTCAAGCAACCTGAAATTGTAAACACAAAATTCAAACATAAATAGCATAAGAAGTTTACATACCACATTTTAAGAATTAGAGATCACTCTCGTTAAAATTCACAACTAAGCATTATCAATGAAACAACTCAAAAACATACACAAAATCCATGCGGATACAATGAATTCCGCTGTATACACTCGTATAATTGACATAGAAGTTTATGAACAATGTAAGCATTTGCAGAGGCATGAGACTCCATTACGTAGTTTTGATAGTGTAGACCGGTGGTTATGAATAAGTTCTTTATTTGTTTCTTGAAAGTCGCACTACTAGCCCTAGAGTTCAATTGATCTGCAAGGGTATTTAAAACCTGAGGTACCTGGTAAGCAATACTTTGTTTTCCATATTGGGTTCTTGTTCTAGGAGCTCGTTTCTATTGTTCTCGCAGACTGTAGTGTGGTCTTCCGGTGCAACTTTCTTCATATTGCTTAGTCTTTTGTATTAACTGAAGTAATTTAAAATGATATAATTGATCAATTCTGAGTATGAAATGTTTAATGAATAGTGGAGCAGTGCCCAAGTCTTGTAGATTCCTCCTGTATTTCCAAAGCAGCGCAATATTTTCTTTTGTATAGTTATTAACTTATGATAATTCCCTTGTGATGTCGTTCCCCAGACTAACATCCCATAACTTACTTTAGAATGGAAGAGTGCATAGTACACATTTATTTTTAACCTCAATGGGATTGAGTGCATTGTTCTAAAAGAACAACCAACCTTTCGTGCTAATGCGGTGATCAGATGATTTACATGTGTGTTCCAGTTCAATTCCTCCTGAAACCATACGCCAAGAAACTTTTGTTCCCTAACATGTGCGATGCAATTTCCTTCGAATTTTACAGCTAAGTTACTAATAGGTTTGTTCAAAGGTCGGAATATTATATAGGTTGTTTTTTTTGCATTCAAGCGCAGTCCATTTTGCCTTAACCAATTTGAAAGATTGCTTAGGTAATTATTTACACTGACCTAAAGTGATATTAGATTGTCTGATGAAAAGAAAACATTCGTATTGTCAGCGTACATTATCAGTTCATGACAATGAGGTATATCGACAATATCATTTATATAGGTTAGGAACAATATTGGCCCCAGTATGGACCCTTGGGGGACTCCTTGGTTCAACTTTATCTTTGCAGAAATTATGTTATTCAGTTTTACATATTGATAACGATCTTCTAGGTAACTTTTAAACAGTTGTAGTGCAACTCCACGCACCCCATAACTTGATAATTTATGAATCAATGATTTGAATTGTATGGAGTCAAATGCCTTTTGAAGATCGAGGAAGAGCCCAAGAGTATATTTTTTGTTTTCCATATTTTCGATTATCTTATCTTTGATATACAGTTGAGTTTGTTCTGTTGATTTATTTTTTTGAAAACCATACTGACTTGTTGTTATTATTTGGTGCTTATCAAAAAAGGATGCAAGTCTATCCTAAATAACCCCTTCAAATATTTTTGATATTGTTGGGAGCACGGATATAGGTCGATAGTTCGCCAAAGTATTGATATCATTACCTTTATGTACTGCAGTGACTTTTGCTACTTTTAGCTGCTCTGGAAATACACCGTTAGTGAGGGTGAGGTTGATAATATAGGCCAAGACATTAGATATCAATGGTGACATCATTTTTAACTCAACAGAACCTATCTCATCAATCCCTGATGCAACATTGTTTTTAAGTTTTCTGATTAATCTTTCTACTTCAACCGGATCTGTCGGTGCGAGA